ACACTAAAATTATATAATGTTAAATATAATTATACATAACTCTTCTTTTTATTATTAGACAGTGTTTATTCTCATGATTCATAATTTTTTACAGTAATTTCAAAATTTAGTTTTAGGGAATTTCATTTTATTTTGTACGAAAATTTGAGCTTTAAGGAGTTTATCAACATATACCAGTTAAACGTTATTGATAATATAAATAAACCAGATAAACCAGTTGAACGTTATGATCATATAAATTTCATTTATTTATCAAGTAGATGAACGAGGTGGCTATTTCAAACTGAAATAAATCTTGTGGAGTTACAACTGATTTTTACGTGATAGGTCATAATATTTCAAAAGGTCACGACCATGATGGTTATTACCATCATTCTCGCCTGGATCGAAATATGACGATAGTATCCAACTATAAATATCAACTCGAATTTAGTATCATTCATGAATATGAAATGACCAACTTATAATACGTAGAAAACGATAAGATGCTAACATATCGTAAAGTTTCTGTATATATCAAAATCATCAAACTTACGCACGTTTTTTGATTATAAAAATATAATGTATCATTCAATTTTCCAACATTATATTTCCAATAATTTAAAACTATATCGGCAATTAGTGTGAGCTTTTTGCAATTTAGTACACATACTACATATGTATATACATATTGATATATAATTTATACATTATAAACTTAATTATAATGTTATAATTGTTTAATTTGTATTTAATAAAACCAATTTATGCTTTAATAGCGATTCATTTCTTTCGTTTTTGATCAAATTTATACAATGTATTTATATTATAAATTAAAAAGAATATTTCACAAAACACTTCGAAATTTTGAATTGAATACTGTTTCTAAAGCATAAACTTTAAAGAAATATTTTAAATATTTATTTTTTTACTAATAATGAAATACTTTTAATAATCATTTGTTATTACCAGAGAGTATTATATGAGCTTGTCGCTGCCGTTCACGTAGTTTTGCATATTGCTGCTTCAAAGTACTAATGTCTAAAGCAAGGCGCTCTCGATCACTACTAGGTGCCATCGCTTGTAATGCTCCTATTGTCGAAGGTATACGGTCTGAAATCAATTCTTTTTTAACAAACAGTTGATATTGGATATGATGATAATTTAATTTTTTGTATTTTTTTTCATGAAATAGTTCACGCCGCAATTTAAAATAATGATTGTATCTTCAGTTTCATTGTATATTTAGAATGATGTCTGCAAAGTATTAGAAGATTGATCCATGTGCGACTTTTTAAAACAAAAATATATCAAATGTTTGTTAATTTAGTTAATAAATTCACATTATTTTATACATATTATTTTATACATTTTACACGATATTTTATTATATGTATTAAATGTATTAAAATATAGTAATATTTTAATGAAATTTGATTTGTAAACCGACATTGCGATTCATATCAAATGCATGTAAAATTAATGTAAAATTAATTCACATAATCATGTGCTGTCGTGTTTTTTTTTATTTAACATATTGAGATACTCACGGCATTTGTTAACGATAATCACCTTTCTTTATACGTTGAGCCATGCTGAACATGGCAGCTGCTACTGCTAATCTCTCATCCTCTTCTGTCTCACTGTCATCATCATCACTCAATTTGCGCGCCCACGGAGTGATATTATATCGGTGCTTTTCCCTTAAACTTGTGACACCATGCAAGGGTCCCATGCTAACAATGTTCTGTCAAACACAATTTGCGAGTAAATTATGTTATCAGATGTACACAGCGATAATGGGTAACATAATCATAACATAATAAAAAATAGAAGAAGTTTAAAACATGCAGCCTTCTGATTAGGTTACATCATTATTCCCAAATATTGTTTAAGAATTTTAACCTTTATGAGATTGTTTGTATCGGTGAATTCTAGCATTTCTCTCGTCAGAACTCCCATTATGCTGTAAAACTCGTCTGCCGATGTTACGGTCATTATGCGACTGTAAAAACAATTATTTTATTTGTTACATAAAATTATCAGAGGAGTAACAAAAATTATGTAATTTTGTTATGTAATTTCAATAATGAGTTTAATTTAAATTTAAAACTTACTCCGAGAGACCTTCCCAGATAGCGAGTGCCGTTCTAAGTAGTACTTCATCACCTTCGAGAAATATCAGATCCCAGACACGAAGTACTGCTTCCTGCGGTAAGCAGTGACAGAAAAGTGTAAGAAACCATTGCATGGTGAATACGTTCGTGAGCGGGGGTTCATAACTACTTCCTGAAAAAAAGAAACACAAAATTGCCTCCTATCCACAACAATCAAGACAAATGAAAATGATAAAATTAAATTAAATTAAATTATATAGAGATTAGAGATTGTCGTTGTTATAGTAAATTATGTTTTCAATTTAACAAAATACTTTTTAAGTACAAATATTTAATAAGCATGATGTATAAAACAAAATTAAATAATGATTTTCGCGCGCGAATTATTTCAATTTAAAAATGTTCTTAAAACTTCATTTAAAATATCTTTAAAACAAATAAATGAAAAAAATTTTAATAAAATTGTGAATAAAATTGTGAAAGCTTTTTATTACATCATACATAAGCGCATAAACTTTTTATCCAAGGGAGAGTGAGCGATAAAATCATTTTTGACATTGATACCATCAGACACTTGATAGCTACATACATCTCAATCTTCAACCAATATAATATCTTTTCGCTATGCCTGTTTGTGTTTCTCATCCTTCAAGTTTTTGTTTCATCAATCCAACTCACCCGTAGCTTTATCCTTCGCGTCGCTTTGGAGCGCCTCAAGGTGCTTGGACAATTTCGGCAGTCTCGAACGCAAAAGATCCCGGAATACCGCCATGTCCACGGAGAGACCTCGCAGATTATCGGCGAAATAACCCTCCGGTAAAACACCCTCTATCAGATATATCATCACTTTCACAGCCGAGGACTCCGCGCGATCCATCACTTGCAGGACGAGGGCGGCCAAAACATTCAAACCCTGGCAGTAGCCTACGGACTTATTCCAACGAGCGAAACCGAGCAAAACTCGACGAAGAACCGCCTGATTGTCCCGGCCAGCAGCACCGCAGAACAGGCTGCAGCCTGTCCTGTGCAGATCCTGTAAATTGTAATGTCGGTGAATTAGTTGAAAATTACTCCGGTAACTTTCGAGCCTTGCCGAATTAGCAACGTAATTACGCAGACCGAAATAATTTTAGCACAAATTTAATTTTCTATAATTTATTCAAAGCTTTTTCTAATTTTTTTATATTTACAAATGTATGGATAATTAATCTGTCGGGGTTATTCATTTGATGAAAGTAAATGATTAAACAAGAATTGAATGTCAAACTGAGAAAAATCTTTGATAAAAGGTAATCTATGTAGACGAACATTAATTATACAAATAACCGGTGATTATTAGTTACTCGTCATTATAATGATGAACGATCCGGGCTTAATTGAGCGTAATTAATAATAATCTAGACCGTTTTATAATTCTATGTGAAATTGATATAACCTGACGCGATCAGATAGGTATTAGATTACGATATTTTTAGAACTTTTTCTAATTATGCACCGTGAATACATTGATCCAAATCGTATTACGCAACTAGACGTTCAGCTTCCTACTTTTAGCTTTCTTAACTTATTCCTTTTAATCAATTGAAATATTTATGTACTATGGAGTTATGTGTTTTCGTGCCAGGAGTTTTAAGGTACATTGAAATAAATGTGCCGCCATCTCTCTAAACGTTTTCCTCGTAGCTGTGTGCTGTATATCCAGAAATGTTCTCGCAGAATTAACCGGGTCGCCCTTCATTTCGGAGATAGTTTGATAAACTGAGTATGTTGTAAAGATGATATTGTGTTATGATGATATATCGTGTTTGTGATGATATCATTAGATACATATTTGAACTAATTTTCTTTTTGACAAATTCTTTCGTCAAAAGGTATTAAGAGCAAAACATGATATAAAGGAAAAATGCATTATTAAATGTTGCAATAATAAAGTTAGTGTTCGTTAAAACACTCTAAAACAACAGACTTTTTTTCATGCAACCTAGCAGATGTGAATACTTACTGTCGAAGATTATTCGCGAATGTTGTAACATGGATGGCTGGAGAATATTGTAAACACTTACTTTTACGATTTGTATGCCGAGTTCTTCGTCGTCAGGATTACTCCACTCATTGAAACAGACCTTCTCAGCTTGCTTCCAATCTACACCGCGTTGTTCCAAATGACGTTCCGCCAATGTTAGCCACAACTAGAAAAATATCAGTTTCCTTATCTATATTCAGCAACAATTCCTTGAATTGTTTTATATTTTACTTTACTTGTTTTATATTTATATTGTTTTATATTTTTTATATTTTCTATGTTTGTCCATTATCTAAATTGTAGGCCACTCACTCTTTTCCGAAATTCTGGTGGTATTCCTTCTTGTAATTTGGCAACCATTTTCATCGCATCTAACCATTGTATGAAACCACTTTCTCCCGGTTGCGGAGTCAAACTGAACCTCATTTTTGTATCTTCGACTAAAATTTATAAAACATTTTATCACATAATAATATATAATAATTAAATATGAAGAGTAGCTCATATAATATAATATAAATAAATGAGAATAAAAAGGTAAATAAATGAATAAAATAAAATGTCTAATTATTAAAATATGTGTGTATTTAAAGATATGTATTAAAAAATATGTGTGTATGTATATATATGTGTAATTATGTATGTATTTAAAAATATGTGTGTATTTAAAAAACACTCTGATGGTACGGTTCATTTACATATATATTTTAATAATTAGACATTTTATTTTATGTTGATGCACCTTTTTATTTTTATTTCCTAGTAAATAGTAAGAAAATATTAGAAAAACATGTTACACTTTAATTAATAAAGTAACATATAAATTGCAGTTTTTTTGCATTATATTATCAATACGTACATTTCACAAAGAAAACTTTACGTCATCTTATATCACAAACAAAAATAATTTTTTATTTAAATGGAACTGATAGCCAAGAAAGCTTGATTGACATAAATGCGTGAATAAACTTTAGCATTGGTTGCGAATCGATAATTTGAATATTTCACTGGAAGTTGCAACGGCGACTATCATCCTGTTCGATTTGATACGAATGGCTGACAAAGTCATCGAGTGAAGCAAGCTCGATTGCCTTTAACATTTAATAGAAGGGTTGATCGTTTCTATGACAACCTTGGTTGAAGAATTACTAGTTTGAGTAGAAGTAATTTTGTAGAAATTCTTGAGGTAGTAAATAATGTGTAAATCCACGCGTTTATGTCGATGAAGTCGCGTGCTAATGAAACATACATTGAAAATATTAAATTTCCGTGCAACAGCGATATTGCTTATTGTCATCTCACAGCATCTACGAATGTACGAGCATGGTTTGATCAGGATGGAATTCTATTAATGACTGAATAAACTACGGCAGCAACGCGCGCTGATGTGTAAAATCGATATTATTTCTGCTTTCATAACAATTTGTATTTTGTCTTGCATTGTTATTACAAGTGTATTTTGTTAGAATTGCTATACGTGTGTTACATTCTGTATTGCTTTATTCTTTATTTTGCCGTATTCGCTCGTATTTTTCTGGAATTTGGACAAAATAAAACATATTTGCTATACGTTATTGGAGTAAAAATAAATAACTACTTTACATTACATTATTACCTTATTACTTTATTACTTTATTACATTAAAATATTAAAGATTCGTTTTTATGCAACAAAATTGATTTAATATTCATTGCTTGCAATCCACGTTTGAAGGCAGTTTTACAAATCATACATAAAGGCAGAGTCACACCGCTATAAATTTTATTACTACAACGAAATAGCATAGGAATACAATGCACATCGAGTTAGCCACAAATTAAATGTGCTATGTATTAAATTTTATGGATATTCCGGTGTTGGCAAACATAGAATATTCTATCTTTAGATACGAATTGTATCTGGTGTAGAAATTGTGGTAAATGCTTGTTTCTACAGTTTGATTTGATAATCAAACAAATCGATTTGTTCTGTTTTATATCTACGATATTTCAATCTTCAATTTAGAAATAATTCGTGTATTTAATTAATTTTTAATAAGAAGATATGATTTTACTGACATTAAATAAGTGTTTTAATTACAAGAATCCTTATTCGTATGAAACTAATTATCTTTCCACATTTTATCAAGCTTATATAAGATTACCTACGAGACTTTCATAACAGCAATAAAGTATGTACTTTTAATTATTCTACTTTTATTTTATACTTGAAAATAAAAAGACCTAATGTCGTCTTTTTTGGCTTAAGACAAAGTCTAAACTTAAGCTATGTGAGACTCTTAACTTGCATTAATGTTATATAACACATAGATAGGGCTATACCCCTACAGGAGTATTTAACAGAATTTAATTTACATGCATTTAGCACGTAGTCTGCATGTATGTGTGCGCGTGTATATATATATATATATATATATATATATATATATATATATATGCAGCTTTTACAGGGATGATTGCGCCACGCGCGTGCAGCATAAGAAGACATTAGCATGCGAGATAGATTTACAGAAACTGTTGTGTCACCTTCCAGCTCTTCGTATCTCGAGGCAGAGCCGGTAGCACCGGACGCGAGGTTTTTGAGAGAATTGAAAAATCCGTTCATCCTCCAATTAGAAGCGCCACTCTCTCTTCTTCATCGTTTCGCTTTCATCTCTCACGTCTCTTATTATGTCGCGCGTACGCTGCTCTCAACCGTTCTCGTGATTCATGATCATCGGCCGTTCCTCGGTTTATTCTCGCGATATTCTTTTTATTCGCAACGGATCGCGAAGTTCCTCTCGGATGCGCGATGTTTTTACTGTAACTCTGAAAAGCCGATCGATCTGTTGACTTAGTGTGCCAAGTTTTGCACTTAACCGTGCGAAACTACTGTGATGATTCTCACTACTGTGTACTCTCAGGAAACAAATTTTATTGACATTAACGTGACTTGGTATATCATTTATATCATTTGATATCAAATATTACTCAGTGTATGTATATTAATATAATATATTTTAATATATATTTATATACATTTTGCAAATAAATTTATTAATAGAGAGCATTGCAATCTGATATAAATGGTTAAATTATTATCTGATAACATGCAAAAATGCAAAAATACTTTAAAGTACATTTTATTAAGTATATTAATATTAATCAAGTATAAAGTATTTTCAAGCTTTTATCAAGTAACATTCAACCTACTAAAAATCTAATAAAACATAGAAACATTCCTCTCCGTTCTTTCATGCCATATGTATAGCTGTACCACCTGTTACAAGCATCACAATGTAAATGCTCATGCATAATAATACACGTGTAACATACATATATGTATATGTCTCTATGGATCGTGGGAGATAGCCTTAGAATTTCTCATTATTTGGCATATCGGATACGTGAGGTAATTTAATACAGGGCAATTAATATATAACGCTTTCGTTGGTGCACGTAACACAAAAAACCGCGTTCTAGTTTTTTATTCGCGATAAAATGCAGATAACAAGTGATAAGAGTGACCAAGCTGATAACGAAATCGATTTTTACTTCACCAGTGATTGATGAAACCGATAAAATGCTCGAGCAGTTAATCCGATCGCGACTGGTCGATTACAATGCAATTAAGAAAATACATGCAGCACTTAATCCATCGTTCTTTCATTTAAATTTGTATTCAGCCATTTATGCAATCATTCCTTTTTAAATCAAATACGTCGTCAGATTATTAGATGCGTTTTAAATGTCGTCAGATATACATCACAAAATGCCGCAATCATTTCAAACATAGCGATAATCTGTCAATAATGAAATTAAAAAACATAAAATATTAGGTTTCTTATTAAATTGCAACAAATGCAATTTTGTTCCCGACGAGAACTATTCGTTTGTACGTGCAACATAAGTGGGAGAATGAGAAATTTACACGCTTTGAGTCAGATTGTCGTGACCGCGATTTTCCACGTTGCGGTTTCTGTCAATATGACTTAAAAATAGATATTAAATAGATATTAAATTGATAAATCCAATATTTAAAATTAAATCTTGCATGATATACCAAAATAGAATATAAATGCGGCAATTCTACCAAGATATTATTTTTTAAAGTTGCAAAACGCGAGTTTGTTATCAATCAAGAACAACGCGAATCATAAATTTTTAGGAATTTTTGTTGAATTTGCATAATTTGCCTTTCCGAAAATCCGTAAAAACTCGTTGATTAATTGCGACTCTCAACAATTTTAAAAGTTGTCTCTCATATATTTTTTCAACGAGATGCTAAGAACGCGTCAATTCGTATTTCACGAGTGTTTTATATCAATCAAAATGTAAGCTAGTATTTCTATAAAAAATATATGGAGCAAATTGAAAATTAAGGAAAAATCAATATTTTATCTATATGTCTTAGATGAAATACATCGAGATGAAATACACGTGCTGTAACTTCAATTGGCTAACACACACTTTTATTACAGAAAAAAGCTAATTTATAGATTTTAAAAAGCAAAAAAATTGTTTAAATATTTTATATGTTTTCTAGATTTTATAGTGCAACATAAAAGAATTTTCCTATTGAATGTTACTTAATTTTAATCGTTAAATATATTAGCGATCTATTTGATTTTTAGCCACGCTCTCTATTTTTTTTAATCATATTTTTCTTTCTTTCTTTGTCTTTTTAAAATATGAATATAGGTTATTCTAGAAATCATGCAAACAGTCTGTCGTTTTTCAACGAACGGAAATTGATTTAATATGCGACGCACATTTTTTCCTATTAGACGCACGCGTTCGTGTAGCGACCGAGATTTAAACGTGCATTTCACCATCGTTCACGGTACGGTCTCTGGTCTCCATCGACGACGGCCAAGGCTCATACTTACTCGCGAGGGAAGATATTAAACAAATGCAGTACTTTGACACTTTGGGGAAACGAGATTAGCGTGTCATCGGATCGTACCATCTTTACCACGAGATTTGACAGCGCGCTATCGAACAATCCTCGCCGTCGTTGTTGATTATGCAGCGCGACACATCAATGCACATCAATGCGCGCAAATACTATGAAGCACGAATACACCACAAGCAAACGACCTCGAACGTGCATGTTCGTTGCGCGACACAACTTCGCGAAACCAAGCCGGAAACGCGAACGCGTGCGAGCTTCTTGCGGCCGATGAAGATCACTCTCTCGACACTGTTCTTCTCGAGTATCGGGAAATTTCGCGGCGTTGGCGTCGCGACGATGCTCCGAAGCAGCTGTCCGAAGCACCTGGAGGAGCGTCTTCGTACGACGAGTGCGCCGAGTCAGCTGAACGATAATGGATAGGGTGGCTTGCGCGCGCGCAAAACTCCGCAACAACGGCGAGGGGGTTGCCACGAGGGGTGGCTGCCTCCTCGTGGAACTCTGCAGTAGGCACTACTACCGTTCTTCCACGAGTCGTCGTTTCCAACCCCGTGGCGGTCGTAGTGATTCTACATGGTGCCACTCCCGTCACAACGCATGCGCCCGGCATACGCAGCTTCCCACTGTGCATCGTTTCACCCCCGTGCATCTGATTCTTTCAAAAAGAATATGCTCGAAATTCTTCCTCTGCGATTTAAATGAATTCTCAATGTATCTCGAAAAAAACATCGAGGAAATCTGACTTCTCTTTTCAAATGCATGTGCATCATTGTGAGACAAATATGAGACGATTTATTTTATAAATAAAATGTTATTGTTTAAAATCTTTTTTTTAAATACTACCACGTGTATGGGATTATTTTGCATGCTATCCCACACGTATTTATACATGGAAGTTACACAAGATTTATTAATGTGTAACGTTTGAAAGTCAAAACATTAAATCCGATTAAATCGAATCGATGTTGGAGCGTGCGTAGGTGTTCGTAAAATATTCACGCGTAATATCTATAGCAATATTTATATTAGAGAGATATGTTTCTTGAAAATAATTTATAATATTATTTTTTCTGCTTCTGATATAATTGATAACTGATAACATGAAATGATAAATATCCATATATTACAATTTTTATATGTTAATAATCTGAACAGTTTAAATGCCATGACATACATAAAATTCTTTTTGTTTAGCTTTTATTTTAAGCAGAAAAATTAATCTTTGATACTTTAACGTAATAAATATGGACATACGATATGGGTATGGCTATTAAATTTTTACTACGTTGAATAGTTCATCCGTAAGAAGATTAATAGCCACAGGTCTCGATTAAGTGGAGTACCGTGACGCGACTTTATCTAATGTGTAACCCCGTACGAGGAGAGATTATTATATCAAGCGAACGTGCAGAAATTAAACTATCAAGGTTTCATGTTATTATAGAAACTTCGTTATATGTCTTCGCTTATATATATGCAGATCCACGCATATTTACGAGAAATTATTTCTCAGAATGTAATGTAACGCCGCGTGTAGCAATTGAAAGTATGGTATATAACAAATTGGAAGGAAGGGAATGCAATTCTCACTCTTAATATGACTCAGTATTACCATAAAATCAATAAAAAATATCTGGCATACGTTAAAAGAATTGCTATGTGGAATTTGAATAGCGTGTATAATTTAGATGCTTAGATATATATATATATATATATATATATATATATATATATATAATATATAAATTATATTAGATATGTATATTAATTTTTGCTGATATATTTAGAATCTTTGGAAGAGAAAATACCTTTTTGTTCAAAAGTTTATCAATGAGAATATTTAGGATCAATATGATCAGTCATCATATCAGAGTCATTGATTTTATCATTTTAGGTCACTCGAAATAGTTAACACCATTACGAGAAATCGAAGCTCAAATATATTGTACATATGTATATCTGCTGAATTGTTTAATTATATATTATAACTGGAAACACATTTGTCTAACGTACCCGTCCAGATAATTAAATAATTAATGACTAAGAATACTTAATTTATTGTTGCGTCCTTGCCATTTTGGAACTTGGTCGCGACATAATAAGTATATTTATATAATATTAATATTTTATTAATAAATAATTTTTTTTATATAATGTACCCCGAATTTAAGCTTAATGTAAATAATATTTTATATTTATTAACATATATTATCCATGATATTTCTATTCCATGACTGATAATATTAAAGCTTATGATATATGAATCTTGAATATACATTGTGTCATTATCGATGAAATGATATACTCACTGATTCAATGTAATTTGATCAATTTCCATTTGTTATGGAATGCTAAACTTCTGTTTATTAGTAACATGTGATTGCTTCTCAGCTATTTAGTAAATATGACTTTAAATAGATTTTGATAAAAAATGAAACAATAATTATGTACTTGAGACTATAATTTTCCCTATAATAATAGAATAATATTCGTAAATATATACATATATATTTTGTATACGCAATATATAAGTATATACACACATTTAAAGAAGTTAGAGAATACTATGTATTATGTAAAACTATTATGTAAATGTATTAAATGAAAGAATAATATGCTTTATATTATATGCTTTATTAATTTTGTATCAATTTTGTATCAATTTTATTACTAATTCTTTTGAAAAATATCAATTCTGAAATAAAAGATAAAAAGAATTACTGTTAAATGTTTTTAATCATTATTTTATTTCGAATAAAATCTTTTTTTGGAAAATAATATATGTTAACATTAATATAAGGTACTATGTTCTTTTTAAATTTTTTTATTACAATATGAAGTTAATATTTCTAACTTTTGTTATTTTAAATTTATTTTAATATTTACAGTTCTTTACTAATATATGCTGCATATACAGTTAAAACATTTAATCTGAATATCCATGATCGATTGCCTACGGTTATGAGTAATCTACTGTTATAAATATTGCATTAATGAAAAGGCGATTCAGGCAATTCATAATAAACGTTTCGATCATCATGGAGTTTCTGCATCGCGTAATTTGTTACATGTTCATTCTGTATGAGGATGGTCGTTGAGCTTTTAGCGTTGCCGGGTTAATGGCACGGAAAGTTCATAGGTAATACTTGCGCGTTGGCCCGAAATATCGAATCTATCTTATCCGGCGTAGAAATGGTAGGTCGTTCAAAAATACGTAAGATCAATAAATCAAATGCGACATAGCGTCGAAACGGTCTGAGAAAACTGTAATAAAGATGTTCGTTAAAATGATTTATCAAGTACGTATGAATTTGTAAAATATATACAAAATAACAAATTGCACATCTTTATTTCTTCTTTTTTTTAACATCACAAGAATGAAAGAAGCATGCAAGATGCGAAATAAACGTAAAATTAAGAAAAAAATATATCCCTCTACAAATCCGATTTTAGAAAATTCATCACCGACGATATGCAATTAATTGATACAATAAAACTCCATGATGGAATTTAGAAAGATTAGTATATTCCTGTATGGAACAATTTGCGTCAAACTGAGTTACCTTACATCGTCAAGCGCATGCATTTGTACGAAGCGGTGCATGCAAATTTTCCCGCGACGGAACAAGTCTACGATAAAATTGCTCCTTCGCGATCAAAGTATGCCATCTCTTATCGCGCACATTCTTCATCGCGCAATTATCCGTCCTTCGGGTTCATCGCGCCAGCTAAATGCCGGTAATTTGCGAGGACGGATGAGGAAAGTTGCACGTACATTCGGGGCGACGGGCGCGCAACAGCATCCAAACTTTATCAATGATGCCACGTCGAAACTTGGTCCGTGATACCGTACGCGGAGCATGCGTGGCTTGCTCCGACAGTCGCGGCAAAGTCTAATTATTGATCACTGCCGCATACGAAAGCTCGTTTCTTCACGACCGAGGCAACTTGACGACGCCACGATTTCTTCATGACACTCAGATGGTTCCCTCGAGAACTATCTTGACAACTTGACCGGTATATTACATTGAGTTTCTAGCTCACGTTTGTTGCACGATATTTGTCGCTGACATTGATATAAATGTAACACGATGGAATATGAAACTGCAAAACGCTCAGAAATTTCTGTCACGATTTCTGTTAAGAATACAATGCAAGAATGAGATGGAACGATTGGATGTAACGATTGGATAAAATTCTCGTATTCAATAAATATTTAATTTAGCTCTCGAACTAAGTTTGCGCAGTACAAACTGGATAATGCTCCTTAATCTCTTAAACTTAAATTAAAGTTTAGAATAAGAACTATACACTCAAAAAAAATTATTTTAATATTAATGGAAAGGAAAATTCGCATTTATGTTAAAGAAAAAGCTGCAGAAGCAGAGAAGCAGAACCGGAAGCAGAGTATATTTGAATTTTTTTATTGAGATTTGTAATTATGCTTTAATGAAACCCACATAATGAAGTTATTAGAACACGTAATTTGAAACTAAAAGAGCAATTCGCAGTAATTAACTTTTTTCTTATAGGAATTAAATAAAAATGCATCTTTATTTATAATTATTTAACGCATGATTATTTGCAACCAAAGAAGCAACAACAAATTCGAACAATGTAAGGTAACGCAAACATTGGAAACGCATTGTATTATTAATACTGTTCTAATTTATAATGTTTTGTTGAATATTAATAAAGCATCTCAGCATATTTTCCAGAATGTATTCTAAAAATTGCAGTTTTAGAATGCAATGGTTCAAGAAGTACACAAAACTCTACAGCAATATTTTTTAATCATTTTCATAGGATATTTCTAGCACGAATGATAAGCTCCTTTTCCATTTGCGCTATTTCGTAAATTTTTAAACACAGGTAATATTTTTAAGTGTTATTGGATATCTTTTTAATCTCAGAAAATGCTGTTTGAAAATCTTAGAAGAATATAAGAAAATAAGCAGCTTTGATCTAATATAATAAGAAAATTTTTTTCTTGACATGATTATAAAATACTTTATATAAAAATTGAGATTAATTATATAGCATTATAAAGTATATGCATTGTTTTATTCAAGTATCAATAATTATATGCATTGTTTTATTCAAGTATCAATAATTATTAAAAAATATTATAGACTAATGATAAATTAGATATATTAAATTAGTATTAATAATGAATTATTTCTTAGTCTTTTATGTAATAAGATTCAAATACTTACAGCTATGTGCTTACAGTAAGTTTTATGTTTTAAAAGCATTGATGTTTTAAAAGATGAAATATTAAATGCGAAAGTATTTAAAGCAGAACATTTACTTACTTCGCTTTGCACTGTGTGCTTGTAGATAGGCCGTGATGATATCGCATTGTTTATCACATTTAGCAGTGAGATAATCCTTTCGACGCAGCTGACGGATAAGCAGCCCGCCTGTGTGAATGATGTGCTCGCGTAGAGTCATAAGCAGGATCTCCAGTTCATCTTTTCCTGAGTAAAAAAAATCAATCATCAAAAATTTTCTCCTTATTG